CTAACAAGATGAAAATCTGGTCAGCGCTGGTAGGTTAGTGCTTGAAAAAGTTTTGGTACGGATACAGTGAACTCACCAGCTTTCACACCTGCACCACAAGTGGAATTTCTGTCCGTCAATAAAAGAGTGAGTATTTTGCTCATCATTTTCCTCCGTATTAATATATGGCTGCTAACCATGATCATTTGAAGTAGAAGACACATATAGGTTCCATGTACTTGACCTTATGTGCATTCAGAGCTCGTTTTCACGTTGAGAACTACCAAGTGAGTGGTCTTGGGTTTATGTGGAAGGTATTGGGAAAAAAGGACAAGTCCATCAATGAGTTTGTAAACCCACACAGGCTGAGGTGGTTGAACTGTGTGTTAAATATACTTAATTATCTATCATCCCGATATTGAATGTTAGCTGGTATGGGACCAAGTTGACAAGAATTTATAAACGTGCAAAAACATGGGATCTTTCCATGAACAATATAAGATTATGTGCTGTTAGAGGTGTACTAATGGTTAGTACTTCCCAATTATCCACATCTCGGAAAGATACATTTTCAGGAATGTAAATGGAGACCAGTTTGGTGATAATATTACTTAGAAGCATGACCATAGAGCCTGTGAGATAACTGCTTAAGATTGGCTACGCGTAACTTTTTTGTGAATAGTTTCTGTAACCATTATCTTTTTACTCCCTAGAGATTACCTTCAGCATCAGAAATCCATGGGTTGATGTGTTTTCAGTGCTAACTTCATTCCCAATCCATTACAGTTTCTGTTCTGCAGCAGCTGTGATCGGAAGTACATGTAAAAGGTCTTGGGTACTTTAATAGCGATATGCACTCATGAATCCCTTTACTTTCGAAGGTGTGAAAATGATGAGGTTGGTTTGAGAGAAGTGTAAGTCAAAATCCAACAAGTTGCCGGTGCGGTAGTGCTAAAATTTCTAATGAAGTTGGTAAAAAAGTGATTTTCCGCACTGGCATTTCTTGTAATATTTTGAGAGGTAGTAACTACTGCGTTGTAATTCTTTAAATTGTTTGTCCTGGAAGGTACAAGTAATAAGCCTTCTTTATCATTGCAGGTTTTTGGTATAGATTGTTAAATTTCTAAGAGATTTATTTTGTGAGGATATGTGAATGGTAAATAAACACCAGCTTTTTATTTTTAAAAACAGATAATACTGAGAAACCTGGTGTTCCACCTGCAAATCCTGAGATTTTACAAACAGAAAACTTGTTTATACCCCAATTTGGATTAAATCAGCAATCAGAAGTTAACACATCAACTGGGTCGTCTGTGTTATATTTAAACCATCTTTCTCCTGACAGTACTACAGCAAAAATTGATTCTGTGCCTGTTTCATTGAAATTGGAATCAGGTGATAATACTGCAGCGTCTTTCCAATCAGTTATTCCTAAAGCTGATAATAATGCTACAGTTGGACTGAATGATTTGCCACTCTTAACTAGTGCATTATCAAATCTTGAAAACACGTGCATCACTGTTGATCAGACGGCTGTTTCACAGTCGAATTACCTGACAAATAGATCTACTACTACAACCACCAGTCTACCGACGATATCTAGCGCTGTTATCCTTAGTAATGTTGGCCTTACACAAAATCCTTGTTTGTCTGTTTCGGCAGACACTAATCCTGTTTCCGGAATAGCTTTTTCAACTAGGAATCAGCCTCCTTACATACCAGCCCCACTTGTTCTTGGAAACGGGCTAACACTAACCACATTGTTGACTGCTGAGAACAGCAGTGGTCTTCTAACACCTACAACTCCCAACACTGCTTTCTTGCCACTTCTTGCATCCCCTGGTCCCGGAGGTTTTTATACACCTGGAGTGTTAACTGGTCTAGCTAATCCGACAGGTACTTTTTCATTTCTATCCCCCGTTCCTAACCTATTGGCAAGTGGTAATGCGGAAGCAGCTAATATTTCCATCGGTGGGAGTTTCGCACAGACTTCTGTTACAGCGGATACTATAGTCAAGCAAGAACATATGTGCTTCACTGACACAGTAACAGTTGATGATGGTTTAATCAATACAACACATAAATCCGTTATAAATAATCCTCCTGAATGTGCACCTGATACAACGGTTGTCACTGAAGATGACGTTGGTGATAATGAGTATTTATCTAAATCCACGCTGAAAGGTGCTGGTATCTCAAGGAGGCGCAAATCGACAACTCGTAATAAGAGTCGAATAGTTAGAGGAGAATATGGAGTTCATTCTGAAATAGAAATTCAGGCAGGAATAACATCTAGTATACCTGAAAGAATATCAGAAAAGCCTCACAAATGCACTTCATGTAACAAATGCTTCTCACGATCCGATGAACTTACAAGACATGCAAGAATTCACACTGGTGCTAAACCTTTTAAGTGTGCTGAATGTCAAAGGGAATTTTCGCGTTCAGATCATCTAACTACACACATGAGAACACACACTGGTGAACGACCATTCGTTTGCGATATATGTGGTCGCAGTTTTGCTCGTTCTGATGAACGTAAGCGTCATACAAAAGTGCATCAAAAGAGTAATCAAAAACTTCCTAACTGTGACTTGAAAGTGAATGTAACTAAAAGTCCAATAACTTCAACCTCTGATCCTAAGACAAACTGTGGCGAGAAACGTAGCGTCCCACAAGCGACAAAATGTTACGACACAGCTAAAAATCCTCGTAAACTGAAAATAGATCTGGCAGATAGCTCTACTTTTCAGTCTAATCCTATAAGTGTGGAAAAAGTAAGTGTACTTAACGATGGAATCAGTGTTAATCAACCTGTCCCAGAACAAAGATTACTTCTCGCTACTTGTGATTCTCATCCCGGGCAGCTTACTTTACATGCTTTCCCTAGTGCTACAGGTTTAGGTGGTTCCAGTGTCATATCGCCCCACTCGCAATTAGTCTTTGCAGCTTTGCCTTCTATGTCACTCTCCGCAGTTCCTATTTTGAGTCAAGTTAACACTGAGATTGCAAACACTTTCAATCTTGCCACCGGAACATTTGCTACACAACCTCATGGTCACTTTTTGGCAGTGTCATCGACACCACTGTCGAGCTGTATTTCTAATTCTTCAACTGAAGGTAATATAGTGGTGTCACAGAACCAATCTGTTTCTTCAGTCTCCCCAAGCTTTGCGTTATTATCTACCATCCCATCACAGCATCAAAATGAAATGAGCACAGAATGTGTGCATGGTACTTCCATGAACAATGTGATATCATCGACGTGCATCACAACACCGACCATCCCGAATTGTTACACTATCCGTGCTTCACTTTTTCCCCAACCAGTTCAAACATATCCTTCCGGATTTCACCATTCTCAAACTTCGCCCTATTTCACTGCTATAGCCTGTTCTCCGGATGGCCTGACTGCTAATCAAGCTGGCGCATTTTTCGCTCCTATGATAGCTCCCACTCAGCTACCCGCTAATACGACTGTTTCAGGCACCGATCTCCCTACCACCTTCCATCCAGCACAAGCTAATCTTCAGCCGGAATTTGTAGCTACAGCTGATGGTGTTTCTCCTACCAGTTTACTTACAGGCACCCCAACATGTATTTTTATTACTCCGAATCCGTAAGATAATTCGCTTCATTAGCTTCGATTTCTTTACTGTCTTGTAACTTTGTTCTACACTCATCAATAATATCTATTCTCTTGCTGTTTATGTATTCTGTTGTTTAATAAATCTGTGATTTCGGTTCACAACTTTGAGTGTCTATGTAGGGCTGTGTCACATATATTTCGTTATATTTTCTGCATGCTGATTTACAGAAACAAGCGAATACGTTTTTCCTTAACTTGACTTTTGATGTGTAAACACTTGTAAATGATGCTCAGATGAGTTTTCTATTGGTAAACATATACTCTAACGTATTGATTCTATGAAGTCAAGTACCCAATGTTTTTATCTAACTGTCAGGTTTTTTGGTTCACAACGAAGTTTTCTGTACAATTAGTTTTGTTTGTGTTCATGCATGCTTATCTAAAACTATTTTATATTTTAACTTGTAAATGTTTCTTTTTTGAACAACCTCACTTTTATTGTTCACGAATTGTGTTTCTATATAGCAATAAGTTATTTTTCATTCTTAATTCCACAGATATTATTTAAACTAGTATTTTACGTGAACAAGACTTAGTTTATTATCTCCTATAGAAGCGCCCCTTGTATTTCTTGATATATGTACACCTACTTAACGTTTTACACCCTATTGTCCTGTCAATGTTTTTTTATTGTTAACATTATTCATTTTGAGAATACAAATGCTTTTTAATTTCAGTATATAATATCAAGCACTTTAACGCAAGTTTTTCTTTTAATCATTTTACAGTATTATCTTATAATTCGGTAATGCATTGAGTTTTGTGCGTACATACATAACTGATATCATGTATACCCTTTGTTACCTTTTAAAAACATAAATCTTCAGATTATTTAGGACTTACTGGATACGTTGTAAAAAAGAGCTTTAGTATCGATCAGTTTACATAGTTGATTGTTTCTCTGGAAAATAAAGTACTTGCGAAATGAAAATTCGATTCAAATTATTGGATTCTGTTGTCATTTGTCTTAAATCTTCTCGTTTATGGTACACATCACGTAAAACCTATTGTCTAGTGATATGAACCAGTGTTTACCGAGATACAAGTACTAAATTAATTAATATTTGAATCCGCTCATAATCTAAAATGGTTTTACTAATGGTGGCTTTTTTAATGACAGACTTTAAATTTCACATTCTGTGCTACTATTGATCGTAATCAACCAGCATTTCCTTTTCTAAAGTGTCAATTATGATTTTATTTGAATCCCGTCCAAGTTAGTCTATATTTTAAAAATAAAACTACGTCTACGGTGTTTATTGTGAAGTTAAATTTCGTTTGATACATAATCTTAACATTTGATTTTTATATCAATATGTAACAGATAAGACTTTTACCATAATACTCTGTAGTTTATTAAATAAATAGAAAATTAGGATTCTTCATTGATGTATGGTGGATATGGAGAAATCATATTTCGTTCAACAGCAATAGACAAGGCTGTTCGAAATAATTGTTCTGGTCTTGAGAATAAATTATGAGAGTAAAACATGACTAGGAATTTTTGACAGCCTCTGACTGTACCGCTTGTATGATAAATGTCGATTACCGATTTCCTTTTTTGTCCATCTGTTAAATAAATTAAAGCGTAGTTCAATGTTTTATTTATTTATACATAAACTAGTTTAAATAAGATTCTGTTTTTCTCAGACTCAGTTTATGCATCGAGGGAAATAATTACAGATGCTAGTTAAGGTTTATCATATTTTCCGCCGTAGCACATTGTAATGTATGATGCCTTATGCTTTGTATCCTAATAATTACAAGCTAAAGATTCAAAGAGTTGATGCCACATGACATATTATGAAACATTTACCCCTTTCTGATATATATATAAATTTTCAAAGTAAAATAATTCTTTAGACTTACTGAGATCTAAGTGAGTAACCAAAGAGAGTGCTGTTTGGACGTAAACAGACATGCTACGAAGGCAACGTATAATCAATAAACCGGAAGCAGGACACCAGTGAATTACTCTTAAGCGAGACATACATTTACCGACTCCAAGTGAACCGTGTGTAAGGGTGATGTTTTGTTTTATCATGGCCAATAAATCAGACTCGCTCAAGCGCATCGCCGCTGTATCCTCCTTTTGGCAGCCAGGATAACCTGGTATAAATGAACTGGAATTTTGAGGTTGAATCGAAATGAAACAAACGAGGTATCGATTTTTGATACGTACCATTAGTTCTAGAAATAAATTAGAAATCATGCCAGGTCAGTGGTAAAGAAATTAATCCTACATTATTACGTAATAGTCAGCGTCATCTTGAAATACCAATAGGATTTACTTGTTGAGACAGTATTGAACCTTAACAAGAAACAAACATGCACGAGTAATGTCGATTTGACTGAAATACTTAACATATATACACGATGTCCAAAAGGGTATTTTAACCAAGATTTAATTCAATTCAGCTTTGATTACGAATAATAACATAGAATTTAAATATTTAGACTTCATTGCTTGAACTGTTTTTTAGCATGACGTTTTACTGTTATGCAGGACCTAGTTGTTTTGTTGCAATTTTACGTAATTTTGGCAGCGGAAAATTCGTCTTGGTAAGAATGGATAATGAAATCGAGATTTTTGATGAAAAACTCATTACTACGACACAAACTTGACCATGTGAACCGCGATATTCTTCACACTTCGGCGGGTTTCTAAATGAGCTATTAAACTATCGACTCGACAATTTGATGAATTATAACAAATTCGTTATCACTGGTGTCAAACACTGTTGGAAGTACATTCATTATTTCTTCGATTGACTCAACAGATATATAATACACAAAACTAGGTTTCGGCGATGAAATTTCACTTTTTTGTTATATAGAAATTGGGATAAACAGTTAGTGGTGTACAACTTCAACTAAACATATTTGCACTTTCGCATCGATCCAGTTTTTAGTTACCTAGAAAGCCGCCAAGACAGCAAGAAGCACCGATGATTAATTTAGATCCAGAAACCAAGGATATTTATAAATTTATATTTGACCTTGATGTTCGAAAAGCCGGGAACATGCCAAAATCAATAATCATCCAGACAGAATATGACGATCCACAGTTTTTCCGGAACACTGGGGATTTCCCGCCTAATCCTGACTAGATGAAGTGTTTTCCAGCTTCTAAAGACTTTCGAGTTCTCAAGGTTTCTTATAAGTGATACTAATACTAGATTTTGGAAGACTTTATGACATCAGTTTTCCGATATATAAAATGACATTTTACCAAATCTTCAGAGCTGAGATTTTCTGAGAGGAATAATCAAGATATTTCTCGAACTCGTTGCCTATAGTCAGAATAGGTACTTGCGATGAGTCGTGAAACAGACGATTACATTTGGAAGTAAACGCATCAGGAATGTTTCTCTATCGTCGCTTAAGATGTTCTAGAGACTCCACATTGTCACTATCTTCAATACACAGAAATACATCCTTTCTCAAGATATGTTTATTTTTTTACCAGTCAAGCTTAATGAACGTAGAACTTGTCACATATATGGATCGGTTCAAGTTGTCATGCCACATCAGTACAGAGAGACGAAACTAAAAAGATGAATATCAAAGAAATGTAGTTAGTAGTATCCATAGTAAAAAAGCAGTTTAGATATAGAGCACATAATCCGAGAAAAGGCAAATTTGCGGAATAAAATAACTCTGAAACTCAGGATCTGTGGGTAAATAAGGAATAAATGCATCACGTTGGTACGGCTGATTTTGAGGCATATCACACAATGTTTCCAACCACTGATCATGATTATCGTACGAACCTCAGTCAGTTAGTGAGTCTGGACCTAAAAACATGGAGTAATCTAAGTCTATGACTTGAAATCAGCGATAAAAGTAATGATGAAAATGAACAACTGGTCTCGCAGAAGAGTCCATAAGAGCATAAGGCAAATCTCTGCATAGTGAGGATATTGTGGATGCTACAGGTGCAAATTCATTCTACCCTTTGTCATAGTAAATTTTAAAAGTGATGAGCCATAGAGAAGAGCATTCAGACAAGAAGAACTGATCGTATGAAATAATTTATTAACACATCGTGATATACAAACCATAGATATAACAGAAATTAGCATACAATTAAACTTATGTTATATGTAAGTAGAAAATAAGAATTAATAAGTATTGAATAAGTCTAATGCTATAAACAGTCATTAGTACTCACAGAAAAATGAAGAATTCCAACAGGATTGAAATTGTTACTTAATGTAGTTTAGTATCAAGTGAAATCTCCCATAATACTTGTACGTATTGCAATAAATATAAACATATTTAAGTCGAATATGGTTCAAGTATTTTTAAAACCAACCGAAACTCCGTTAATCATTGATAGTGTAGTACGCAAATCATACAATACAATTGTTTTCTATCAAACGTATGAAATCATTATTTTACAAGGTTAATAAGAGTGTAATGAAGAAATATTGAATTACACATACGATTACATACAGTAAAATTTGACAAATAATCTAGTATATCAACCATCATATTATATGTAAAAAAAATAAATAGGAAAGTGGAGAAATAAAGCTGAGAAAAGAAATGGAATTTCAACAAAAACGAAATTAAAAGTTTGAGAAACATTATACACTAGCAGTGACGACAAGAATTTTTGTAAGACTTTTATTCATGATGCATAACGCTTTAAGATACATGAATAAAATTCGGTATTCAATTGGATGTTATTCAGATATAGTTAACAGTAATGAAAAATCATTCAAATTATATTTAATTAACTAGTAAACAGTTATCAAAAATGAAAATGTCGATTTGCATTGGGGAAAAAAGCGCTCAAAATAAATTATAAATTGAACAAGCGACAATAGAAATGAAGTAGTTTATCACATTATTATGAAAAATTATTCACGCAATTAATAACCAACCAATAAAAAATATAGCAATAAATAAACATATTTTTGACATTGTTTCTGAATCAGCTCCCCAAAAATTGTCTGGTGGTATTGCTCGGTTACTGACGCCATTAACATTGTGTGAATTTGCAGGATTGCTATTACCTCCTAAATTGAATGTTGTTGACAAGAAACCGAATGGAAATGCACCAATGCCCACAGACATTCGGAAATTACCTCCATCAGATCCACCGAACAATCCTCCCCATGTACTTCCAAAGCTTCCAACCCCCGGTTCTGGTTCAGTACGTCGACCAGCTGGGCGAGGAGGAATTTTAGTACGAGGGTCTTGTGTATGGTCCGCACCACGTCCATAAAGGGGGATGACCTAGTGAAGGAAATTGAATAAAAATATTGTAATTTGATTACTGAAATTACCGTACAATTTTTCATATTTGAGTAAAGGAAGAACAAGGATCATGTATTCTACTCAGTGGCATGTAACATACAAACAGTTATTGAAAACGAAATAAGTATAAACCATATTAAAAAGGTATTGAATAAAACTGAGAATAATAAAAGACAATAATTTTAAGAGAATTAAGAATTGTCTAAACGCTCGCTTGTAGAGATAACCAATAAGATAAAAGTTAAAATATCATGGAAACAATTTTCTTTCGAAATAGAAGATATGTGGCAAAGATTACGTAAAACCTGGAAAATATAGAATTTTCGAGTGAAGCTCAGAAATACGGAATGAGAAATCACAATTAGGATCATGGAAATGTTACGCAAGGCTTCCATAGATGAGATGACTGATGACAAATGACTAACTGTTCGGGGACTTTTAACCTATTCCGATTAATTGAATATAAACGATTAGTGTTGGTTGTTGCCGACATAGATGAATATACGTTACCTGAACTTCGTTACTATAATTTTTTTTCAAACGATGTGGGACTTACCTTATAGATGGAAACTTTAATATTGTTTGTGACTGGAATTAATCTGAAATATTTATTTAGTTTATGAAACAAAATTTTCGAATATAGTGAGAACTGAAGGTGTTATTGTGCTACTGAAAAACGTAATAGTAGTTTGATTCTAAATGTGAAATTAATTTATATGGATGGGCCCATATCGAGTTATAATTTTATCAGCTCAGAAGTAGATTATTCAAAGAAATATTCAAGCTATTCTGAAGCTCATATAAAAATACGTGAAAGCACCAAACAATTTGGATATAAACAGGAGAACCAGTAGAATGAATGAGTGAACGAAAAAAAAGCTAAACAAAAAGATATAGATTCCAAAATATTTATACAAAGGAATAAAATTTCGAAATTGAAATACCAAGATAAATTTTATTGTCTTTTTTATGCGACTCAGGGTATTAGGGATGTTAAATCAGTTGCTGAGGTTGTGAATCTTCATCGACTGAGATGGTTGGGCCACCTGATAAGTATGACTGAACACTGATTACCACGACGTGCAATGCTAACCGGTGTTGGGGATGGTTGGAAGAAAGTTAGGGACGGCCAAACCAAAACATGGCATCAGTGCTTGTAGTCACTAACGTCTAGTCTGAGCCATATTAGTACATGCAGACTACTTGGTTGTGGTCCGCGTGACTATCGTAACCAATGGTTGGAGACTCTGGGTGACATGGCTCAGAATCGATCACAATTGTGTAGGTGTATGCACTCTCTGTCATCCCTTAAACTAAGAGAATAAAATCGCTTCATATCTTTCTTTCTACGGACTAATTCTTTCTTCCTGTACTATGTCCTTATATCCAATCTTTCTTTTATATATTACCACCACTGACTTAACTACTTTTATGAATCCGGTGTTCATCTTGTTGTGTTAATGAGGTATGGTAACTTAGACTGATGCATATATGTGCCTGGTGATACGTTGTAGCCGACTGATACGAAGCATCAATAAACGTATAATGTTTAGAAAAAATAGACTGTCAAACATAAGAATGCGTAGATTTTAGGAATATAAATGACTTAGAACATTATAGTAACGGCAAATTCGCTTATCGTATAAAATTACTTTTAATAAGTTACTGTAATAGAAAAATAGAACTCACTTTATCACTACTGATAGCAGCCTTGCAAACAGGGCATACCGTGCGGGTTTCAGAAGTTTCAAGCCAACGATGGAGACATGGCCAACAAAATAAATGGCCGCACATGCTAACTACCGCATCTCGAGCTGAATCAAGACATATATTACACTCAAAAGATCCCGTTGTCCCATTACTATCAGTGGTCTCGGATGTGTTGGCTTGATTTGACTTATCAGGGTTGCTTTTAGGTACATTTGACTTCGAGGTAGAGGCGGCTGTCGATGTTTCCATTTATCCTTGTTCGTCAGTTGTGTAATAATTTACCTAAAAGAACACCCTGAACATCAAAAGAAAATAGGAAAACCACCATAGAAATTATAACAATCTCAGTGCCAGTTACAGAAAATTAAAATGATTTACTACACATATAACAAAATCATATATATTAAGGAT